GTGTATAATGTAGGTAAATACAACCAATTAGTTGAGTTTCACTCATAGACGCTGAACTCAAGCCCCCGAGTTTCACGACAGCGAGTTTCACAAGCAACTAGTATAATTATAAAATAACAATCTGGTATCACACTATCACAATATAATATATACCACAATATTGTATTCATGTCTCATAAGTCATAATTTCAATTTTCTATTTTCTGACATTTAACTTACTGTTGCTACCACTTTTAAATTTTAATATAATTATTTACTATTTAGGTATTTCAGTAGTTGTAAAATATAAATCTATTTTTATTTTTTTTTTATCATCGCCAACATAAAATTGTTAACATAACATTGGAATAGGTATACCTATTTAAAAAATTCCTAACGTTAAAAAAAGGTAATTCAAACACACACTATGTTCTATAATTCTTTATTATTATTTATAATAGGTATTAGCCATTAGGTGTATTATTAATTTTTTTTTGATTCTAGGGCATCCATAGTATTTGACATTTGTGATTTGTATAAGTATTATTCTGTGTGGAGAAAGTTGATTAGGTTAGGTTAAATCTAGGAAGATAAATAATATTATATATTAGTTTATTTTAAACGAAATAATAAAAACAATGTAAAATGAATAATTTTCTCCATAAAACTTAACAGTAATTAGTAAATATAGTAGCTATAATAAACATAAATATATGACACCATATGTACCTATACACCAAAAAGTCTTAACCTAAATTATAGCCATGATACATATTTATTTAGCCTCGACAAAGAGGGCATACTTCATATTGTTCCTGTATCATTCTTCTAACACAAATGTCGCAGAACTGATGTCCAAAAGGCACCAACGTTACCACCACCACCCTATCGAAACATATGCAGCATAATTCCAAGATATCTAAAACAATTTGAAATTATTTATATAATTGTATATCTGAGATTTGAAGTATGGTAAATTTATTACAATAAATATTTTTACCTGCATTGACGACAGGAAGTGGCAGGTGGTTATTTATCGGCAGTAAAATTTCTAGCTCTGGTTCTGAAAACAATATGCAATTTATATATTTGTATAGGATCTTTCCCCTATTTACATTAATTAATATTAACATTTTTGACTAAATTAAATTATACCATTCTCATTATCCAAGTAGACTTCTGCCCAAGGTCGACCAAAGTTTGGACCTGGACCTCTTCTAATGTCAGCATTTACGCGTCCCACTCGTGCTCTTCTTCCACGTCCACGGTTTTCTATGAATATATTAATGGATTAATTACATAAAAAGGTAACTTATTTTATAAAAATTATATTCAAATGGGTTAGGCATTATTTATTATGTAATAAACTGTATGCATTTACCTATAGGATAAGGTCGGTCAAGTTCTTCATGCCTCTTTCTACCTCGACCACGGATACGACCTGGTCCCCTCCTCTGAGGAGCTTCAATAACTATCTCCTCTATGGGTATCTCTGGTGATGGTGGACGGATTGGCTCCTCTAAACCTGGTGACAATGGTCGAAATATGTGGATTGGTTGAACGGGCAACAGTGGACGCATTGGCAATACCGCAGGTGGTTGAACAATTGGTTGAGGAGGCAAAAGTGGTTGATGTGGCGGTGGGCGCACTGGTTCCAATATCAAAGGCCTAAAAGCTGGCCGTGGCAATGATGCGGGTGGCGCAAGTATATTAATACCGGGTACTATAGCTTCCAAATGATAAAATTGAAGTATCCCGTTAAACAATCTATTGATAACTTTTAAAAATATGTAGTTGTTATGGTTTATATTCATTTATAAATGACTTACGATGTGGAAAATTGGGCTCCCCAATTTCGTTTCTGATTACTTGCTCTGCCGTGTACGCCACATTCCTTATGATATCACTAAGATTGTAGTTGCCGTTTTCTACATTAATCCACGCATTTCGTATAATTATATTGTTACGCGGGTATACCCTGTAATCAGCTTGCCTTACCTAATGAACCAAAATTGGAGTAAGTATGTTGTTCAGACATTTTAATAATTATAATACATTTAGGTAAAAAAAAAAAAAACATTGTTAATAAAGTGATTAATGTGTGATTACAAATGTACTAACCGTCTGCTCGTTGCCTGTTCGACTGAAATCATTTCGTCCTCTTTCTTCAACTGTTCTCAAATGATCTAATAAATGTATACAAACAATTTTATCATATTAGCAATCAACTTCCTATAATATCTCAATTTCATAACAATTTTACTTTGATTTTATAAAAAAAATTACTATAGATATACAATGTTGGGTGTTGGCCCATTAGCCGTAACAGCGATGCGTGGTATGACTCTATATAGTTGTTTGTTCTATACTGTAGCCTGAATACTGTGAATCTCCGTGGAGTCACAGTATCCATCCAGTACCGCTCATAATACCTCATTATATCTGCCAATTGATCTTCCAAGTTATAGTCAGTAACTGAAATTAAAAAAAACATATTTAAAGTAGCATATTGTACTTGGTTAATTATTATAAACGTTCCTAGGTCTTGTATCAGCCTAAATCTCAATTGGATTGAATAAGTATTTCCGTGGTGGAGTTGTTCTGTAGAAGGTAAATGAGCCAAAGCCATCAACTATAATAATACATTTAACGTCATATAGATAAGTAACTATTATATGTATATTATGTTATAATCGTGCAAAAGTGTTAAAATTAAGTATAATAGATTAAGGAGTTTGATTAGTAAAATTAATTTAATAAAATATAATCAATACCAGGCAAATTTCTAATAACCATACAATTTTGAGATATTTACATTCATATATAACATAACATACAATATTCATAGCTACAAATAATATTACATATTTTAATTATATTTTACATAACATGCTATATTCAAAGTTCAACTAGAAGCCATTAGCCAACAAATTTTATTATTGTAGTAAGTACACGTGCAAACTTATATTTTAATTCATTCAAGTATTCTTACTGAAGATGTTTTTTGTTGCTGGGTGATGGTAACTTGTAATTTTAAATTTGATAATTAATTCCCCAAAACTTTATTTATCACAAAAGATGATTACCATTCTCAGAATTCGCCTTGCATTTTCATTAATGGTGCACAAATTCACCATTTGATGGCTTCGAACATATCGAATAATGCTCTGAAATAAAAATTGTTTATTGAAATATATTTTATTGCCTTAACATGTCATTAAATAAATTAATATATTATATGTCTGTATGTTTAATTTATCTGTGTTATTGCAGTACCTGGATATAATGAAACCAACAGCCAGAATTGTTGGCTTCTGGTAACACCCTAGCTATAGTATTCCTCAGACCCTGTTCAAAATCAGTAATGATCTGGATATTGGTGTAATCAATGTTTAACTGCAGTTCATTCCTTACAAACTGAAGTAAACGGCAGTAGCTCTCAGTATTGCGATCAACCATCAGCGCGTGTACGATTGGAATTGCCTAAGAATGGATAAACCATATATCAAATAAAAAATTTAAATGTGTTGGTATTATATTTTTTTAAACTTACCACATTGTTAAAAATTATTTGGATAGTAAATAGTTGATTTATATCAGCTGGCTGTCGTGGACTTATTTGAAAAGTACCATCCATACATATAGTCCTTACACTATTTAAATGTACATTTATTTCTTGCAAGAACGAGTTGTTAGTGAAGACAATTCCAACAAAGCGAACACTTCTATCATCGTTCAAAATCTCCAATGGACCTTGGTAAAATGGCGCCATTGAACCGTTCACATTACGCAGTCTTGGGCCCCATTCATTGGAATTGAATATATCTACCCAATTCCTTAGCGTTTCCGGAACAGGTGAGTTGTTCTTACGCCTAGCCCGTGCAATAGCCCCAACTGCCGCTGGACGTCCCACTTCCATCGCTTCTCTGGGATATCTGTAATTATTAATTATATTTATTACATTTAAATTTTATAAGATTATTAACTTAAAGTCAAATATTTTTTGTTGGACAGCTTACTGATGTGCCTCTTGGTCAACAATGTTCTGTGGAACAGTGTTCTCCACATTGCCCCTTTCTCGAAGTCTGTTCATAAAACCTCGCATTTCCACTGCATGGTTGGGTATGGGTTCATGTATATGTTCACGTGCTGGAGAAATCAGTATTGGCGCTCCAACAACTGTTGCCATTTTTGCTGAGGCCGGACAACCATAACGATAGTTCTCACATCTCAAATACCTAATTTTAATCAGAAATATAATTTTACATATTAAGTAACAGTAATATTATAACAACATAAAATTATTTGTAATTGTAATATAGCTTATTTTTAATGAGTGTTTAATTTCAATGTGCCCTACAATATTTGTATTAGATTTTTATGTTATGTGTACACTATTAAAAATAAATTGAAAATAAAAAAGCAATAAAGCCAAAAAAGACTGAATTCATAATTTAAATTAAGGGGCCCCACCAATAAATTAGCCCTAAGTAGGGCTCTGTCTATAGGTTTTAACATTGCACATTAACATTTGTTTTAGACAATATTCCTTATTAATCGTTATTAATTATTGTTATTGTGGTTTTGTAGATGCAAGTAGATACATAATTGCAAAGCTGGGCAAGTTAGTCATTTTTTTTCAACTAGTTGAAGTTAAGTTACTTTAATAAAAAAACTAACTAAGTTAGAGTAAAAGTTTGAAGTTAGTTTTTTTTTATAGATTAAAAAACCTTTTTTTTTGAAAAAAAAAATAAATATAAAATAAGTTGTCTAACTTGAATTATTGATGGAAACTAAAAAATTGAATTAAACACCTAGTAATTTGATAAAAATGTTCTAATTAGGTAAGTAATAATTTCAATTAATACAAACTATTAAATAATTTCAATTAATACAATTTATTAAATAATATAAATTATTTCAATTTATTAGAACATAAAAACTAAAGGGTGAAAAAAAAACAGTGAAAACTTAAAAGATTGTGTCTACACTTATTGGTTAAGCCACCTGTATAGATACTATTAATTATATCTGGTAGATATCAACATTCTACAGACTACAAGGAAAAGCCGTGGTACCTGTGCGTGCATTATTATAAATACTAATAATTAATAATATATATTATGCAGAATTTTTATATAGCTAAGTACTAATTAAAATCTAATATTTTTATTTAAAAGTTGTCACTTTTCAAATTAATGAGTCTTACTTCAAAACAATTTTCCTTTTGAAAAAAAATCATAAAAATTTGGCAGCTGACTTTGATATTTATATTTACAATCAAAATTTTTCTAAAAACCAGATTTACAAATTAGCCATTATGAATTTTTCAAAAAAAATTTAAATCAGGTTTCAAATGTTTTATTTTTAGTATTAAAAATAAAAATGTTATATAATCATGCATGTAGCTTATGAGTTAATAAATTATATAGAAAAATATTAATTAGAACAAAAGTTATTTCATTTGTCAGGTATTCTTGTTACTAGGAGTGATATGAAGTAATAAGTTATATTAAATTGTATTTAATAATTTAATATATTTTTTATATTATAAATCATTTTTTTGTTTATATCCTAACCCTTTTAATTACTAACCGGTTATTTCCTCTAATGGAATGCTGGTAATAGACGAATCCTAGTCTATCAATATACACTTTTGAACTTCCTCGAAGTCCAGGAATTGCTCTGGATAGAGGTTCCTGAGGTGGTCCGATTACTGGTTCATCTGCAGGTTCTGCCGCGATGTCATTTACATTGTCTATAATTTACAAATTAGAATAGAATTAGTATATTAGAATATAAAACAATTCATTCTATACTTACAGTCAACTTGATCTATTGATAAATGATAAGTAGTTGAGTGCAGTAGGTTTAAATAAATTATTCAAGTATTTGAAAAAACATATATTAGTAATATGAATAATATGTAATTAATATTAATTAATTAAATAAAATAAATGCAATAATTCGCAAAATAATGATGGTCGGGAGACGATGGTGTTGAAAAAAAGCACAAAGGCAGTCTTCGAACGAGTCTAGAAGCTGCCTGAGGAGTGTTACAAACATTTTAAAATAACTCAAATAAACGTCTGAAATTATTAGAATGGACAAAATATCAATAAAAATGTAACTAATTTTCAAGCCCCTCCCCCTACCAGTTGAAAAATCCTGCATACGCCTCTGCGAGAATCATATTAAACTCTTCCTTCAGTTCCAAGCCGATTTAATCAGGACCTGTTAAAGAAGGAGAGGTACCTATATTGATTATAATTTATAACGCGGAACCATTGTTTGGAACAATAATTCCTCGTAACCAGTCAACAATTTAATTAAGATAATATTATTTATCCTATATGGGGTTATATAATTAGAGCCTATATTATCTACAGGTGCGACTGTGCTAGTACATAAATGAGGAAGCCATTTTCAATAGCCAACCGTCAATGGGCATGTGGCTTATTTGAACATTTAAATTTGCCATTTGGTGTTATCTGTTTCTGCACTTTGATCTTAGCCATTAGGTCGAGAAGCCCACTGTTCTTTAAAAACAGAGAAAATTCTATGAATTTTTGGTTTTTTTATGATTTTTGTAAGCTATTTATTTAACTACTGGAAAATTCGTTACACTGACCATTTAAATGGAATCTCCATAAAATTCTCTATCGATAAACTTGAGATTTCACCATTTCTCGTTCTCCTATGTGGGATTAATCTCATCCATAAACAGACGACCACAAGAGTTCTGAATAGAGTGCATACCTAATATTATAATATACATTTGACATTTACTAATTTACTATGCGTTTATACCTATATTTTCCAGCGTTAGTAAATTTCAAGATATGTCATATACTCATATTATAGTATTATAACAAAATACAATTAGTTATAGTCATTTTCGAGACGTATACATCATAAACTTTGATGATTGAAATTTTAAGTTCATGAATTATGTAAACAATTGGACATTGGTCATGTTTAACACTCTTAAATATATTTACTATCGATGTGATTATATGAATAAGGTGACTACTTCTAGGAAAACTACTGACATAGAAAGTTGCGTGTTGCTGGCGTAATTACCTACCAACTAACGTATAAATAATAAATATGTACCTAATAGTTTTTAAAGTTCAATAAATCCATAAGATGCAGAATGTAGATGACGTTCACATAAGATAATATTATACTTTTAAGTTACCCAACTTTCGGTTTAGGCCCTTCTAAAACGTACTCCCGGAATTGGGGGTCCTCGAATCCCCCCCCCCCCTAGGTGTATTTTGGAAAAGGTTTAGTTTTTGTACGACGTTTCTGAAACTCGAGATTTGTATAGTTTGGAGGTCGCTGATCAAATTCGGCATCTTGTGTCGAGACTGAGCGAGGAGTTTTTCTCCGTTTTTTTGGGGTTCAAAAATTTTAAAATCTGCGTTTTTCGTGTTTTTCAGCACGAAGTGCTACGTACACTTAGATTTTTTGCGCTCCGATCCATTTTTGTAGTCGGACTTTATGGAGCACTTTACGCCTGAACGATTGGCACCGAGATCGAGGTGATCCGACTTTTGGTTCGGGAGTTATGATTTTTAGGGTGTTTTTTGTACTTAGAAAATTACGTATTTACGTGTTTTTTAGATTTTTTCTTTGCGTTTGATCAATACAAAATTCTATAATATGATCATTTGCCGTACGAGGATTCAAAAAACCTCTATGATCGAAGTACGTATGATCATTATTTCGCCCGCAATTGTAGTAGCAAAAAGTTAGAAAACAAATTATGCTAGCTATTTTTGGTATTACCAAGGCGTCTCCTTGTGAGATACGTCTGTGTAACGTATCAAGTAATAAATATTTTGAACTTTTTTTTCACACTTATTTTAGTAGGCGTGTAGCTCGGTATTTATTAATGTAAATCGATAGGCATATTAGAATAAAATATTAAAACCCATAAAATAATAGGTCAATTCACTCTAACACATATTATATTTGAGCTAATAACACAAAATGAGATGTAGGTATATTTTGAAATACTAGCTCCTTAAATAATATGGGTTGTATCGTCTTGAAATCTTTGAGGTTCAATG